AGAAAAGTTAAGCATGATCACAATCCATCTTAGTGACTGTCTCTGTCATGCAATAAACAATGAGCCTTTCTCAGATTTCCTTAGTTCTTTAACATCACAGTGTTGGTAGCTTAGCTCTTGTCCCAGGTGCAGGCAATACTTGGCTACAAATAAATTAACTCAAGCTGTGTTGACAGCATGTGCCATCAAGCTGTGAATGTTTGACGTTTTGCATGGCGCTCTTTCTAGCAGAAACCTAGTCGGGCAGGGATATTCTCACCACTTTACAGACGCAGCCATGGTTTTTATACTGGAATTTTGGTAGCTCCCTCGCGTGTTCCTTTTTTTATGAGTGCACCTTATCTTGTTGTACGTTCCTGCTTGTGGGAGGTTCTTGTCATATATTTCAGGGCTCGTGATTTGTTAAAGGATGGTTTCGTGTTCTGCACAAAGCAATTGCAGCTTGGCACTGCTTTCCCAAATTGGTTTAGTGGCGTGTTCATTTATGGTGTTCTTCAGACTAGTTCAATTCTTATTTGCAATGTTCTTCAAACTAGTACCATCCTTATTACAATGTTCATTGAACTGGTTGCCATCTCCCTGTTATCATGTTGGTATGTGAAACTAGTTGTGACAAGTAGCCAGGCCACCACTGCTTTATAATTGTTTGTGCATAACAGTTCAAGGTAAGTTTCCCTGTAAGCAACATGTATTGCCTGACTAGGTAGGAAGCATCTGTTTCCTTCCTCTGTAAAAAGGTTTGACAATTGGCTGTAATGGCTGAAACGGAAAAAGGTAACGACTCAAACAGCAAATGTCATATTTATGTTAGAATCTGCAGTGATCACTGATCAGCGTATTTTCATTTATCAATGGCATTTAGAAACTAATTCCCTTAGTTTTATTATGGGAAAGTTGCTCTTTGGTTAAATACTAGCAAAACATGCAAGTTATTTTTTGTTATATTGCATCAAGAAGCATGCCCTCAGAGGCTCACATTTAACCATATTGTCACTGTTTGTTCAAGAAATGCCACTATAATTTCATTAACCTAACCACCTCTTTTATCTAAACGTTTTCTGTTAGACAAGATGACATTTTGTGTTCACTAGGCACCTTTTATCTTTATGTTTCCTCAGTAAACTTGTCTAGCAAAGATGAACAAACATTTATGTTCATGTCCTGTGTCAGTTCTTACTTTCGGTCTCTCTTCTTGAAACTGAAAGGTAGAGATTCTCTACCTTATAATTTCCAACTCTACTGAAGATGATCAGTCAAGTCAATGTGTCCGTGGTCTTCCTTCAATGTCACTGCTTACGTAGCACACATAGGATTTCTTGTCCAGCTTCAGTTGCATATCTTATAGGATACATTGATCTGTTCTTTTCTGACAAAGTAAATGTTGTAAGTAGCCTGGTTGAAAATTCTACTGCAATTTATGATGTCTAAGAAGGCCATGGAACGAAGTAAAACTACTTACTGTTGATAAGAATATAGTTTTTTTAGTTTCTTGTTACATAATCTGGTATCAATTGGTTATTTTTCAAAATGAAAGGCAAATCAATTCTCCATCTGTGCAGGGGTTAAGGCCTTAGGTTCTGGGTATCATCGATTGAGACTGAGCTGTTACAACAACTGCGCTTCAAGACATATCTAACGATGTGTTGTGGCCGTACTAAACATCAAGTTAAACAGTTACTAATCATTGGTCACCGTTGAGAAGCTGGCCTCGAGGTGAGTGTACTCAAATTAGATATTGCCTCTTAAGATCGTTTCTGTATGGAATATGGTGGAAAATGAATATCCAGTACAAGATGTATAGGTGATGATATATGAATTAAACGATTGAATCAGACAATAAAAAATTACAAGAAGTAACCTGTTTTTTTTATTTGATTGATCGGAATCATAAACTCAATTCAAAGTAGTTTCTTGTCACACCACCAACTAGTACTAACAGCTGAGACGACCTTTGTCCCATCAAGTCACCACTTTAAAACGTGCCTATACCTCACCTATGTAGAGGTTAGGTTACCAAAGCAACATTGACTTCTTGGTAGAGGTTAGCTATATTCTCAAGCTCCCTATGGCTTTGGACTGCGAGTTAACCTCTTTGACTCTTCTCAGACAGGCTCTTTAACCTCTACTGTAGTTTTCTTTTTCTAACTAATAATGGACTTGGTCGTCTCTGACGTCCTAATCATTATGCACACTCAGTCTTGTTGTGTGCTTGAACTTTGAACTTATATTTCCAAACAAGCAATATACCTAGCCATTTATAATAGTCAATAAACCTTGAACTTCCTGATTAATTCCAATGAAAATAAATTTATTGAACTGGTGTGTGTAACTACTTTAATTATCAGAGAGAACCAAATTTGGGGAGCTGCTGCCTGCTGGATTATTTAGCGTGCAAAAATTGTACTGTATTGAGGATTTTGATATTCACATATGACTAGCAGAAACTACTTTTAGAAATTGGTGACTCCGTTGCAAATCAAACATACATTTGTGGCAGTTTTATATCACTCATTTCACGTCTTCTTTAGAATTATAATTTTGAACTTTGTTTCACAAACTTAATCAGCATTATCATTTCAATCATTCCAACCATCAGAGTAATCTAGGTGCACAAAACTTGTAGTATGATGTATCTTGAGTCTTTCCTTTACATGTTATTAACTCTTTAAATACCATGTTGATTACTTCATGTATGCCGGCATCAATTTGCTTGGGAAAGCAATGCAAACATGCAAAACCATTCTCTCTAGAACAATATCTGGTGTCAATGATCGTGAAGTCATTTCGTTTTTTACCTTCAGACACTAGTTCTTTGAACTGTGACATTTTATTTAGTTGTAGAGAATACTGGTTTATGGTTTAGCTAGTACTCCTGGATATATGGTCTATTATCTGTTGTGACATGCTGACAACTAATCATTTTTTGAACAAGTCAGCAATGACTATAGTTTTTCTGTGGAAGGAGTTTAGTGCTGTGTCCCATTGGCTAGTGAGAAATAGTACCTAGTATGCCCTTTCAAGTATGAACGCTGGAAATGCAGCATATGGAATCAAACAGGTGAAGTAGAAGCGAACTTTTGATAATTACATATGATGACCGGATAAATGAAGTCTCCATTTCATCATTCCACAGTACTGCACTTCGAATTTATTTTGTCTATATGGTTAGATTGACACAATGTGAGCAACTTACATAAACTAAGTATTAATGTCATCAAGGAAGTCCTTTTAGTAACTTATGTAAAATCCATTTTTGCCAAAATCGCTGGAACATTAATTTGAATTTCAAAGTAGATAAATTTCTGTCAAAAAATTGGAAAGTCATTTTCTATCTATGTCTGTCATGCTCCAAAAAGACGTGTAAAATTACGTTATGTTAACACTTTATACTTAGCTTCTCTAACTTCATAACGACGATTTTCATGCTTTACAGACATGCCTTATTAAGTCCACGAATGTCTCATGCATTATAGACCATGTCTTTTTGACCAAAATTAGGCAAACCTTGCACATGCTGCAAGTAAACTTTGTCTATGCTGTTAGAGAACACACAAAGAAATATTTAGCCACTAGGGTTGGTACTCGGTATAAATATCACACATAGACCTGAGAAACTAATATAGCAACAAGTACAATCTAAAACTGTAAATGTTTCTGTAAGGCAGTAACTCTGGTAGTGGGAAAAAACATTTCAATACAAGACTCACATAGAGATACCTGAAAACAAGGCATCTCTCATCTAGGAGTGGTGAGAGGCATTATTGTTCTTAATTCAGAGCTCTCATCATCTTTCACCATTCCCCATGAATGCTACAAATTTACACCACAAAATCCACAATCATGCATGTACATGAGAACAAACACCAATAGCTAGTTGGCTACTGCATCCCAAGGTCGACCGGCTCCTCTACGAGGCAGTACTGCTGCATCGCTTGGGAGCTGGACGCGACAGTAGTGTTAGGGCAAACCAAGGGGCTCACTTCATTCCACCTCATGCTCTGGTCCCCCATGCCGAAGAAGCATTCCAGCCCGTCCAGCTTGACCTGATTGAACTGGAAGCTCTCGTCCAGCTCCAGTGCAGGCAGCACGCCGGAACAGTGGATGCCACCTTCGTTTAGCGGGGCCGTGTGCACCGATGGCGCCACAAAGTTTGGAGCTTCCCCGTACATTGACGGAGGAAGGCACGGCGGGGCTGGCAGGGCCGCAAAAGAGCTTCCTCCTAGCTTAAACAGAAGCTTCCGGATGGACTCATCCACCCCTTCTCCGATACGGTTGCCTTCCACCATTGAACCAGGCATCGGACGGGGCGGCATGGCCATTCCATGCTGGTGCCAATTGTAAGCACCAGCAGCAAAGCCATTGTTCCCGGCTACGCCCTCGCTGGCTTCTTCCTTATGCCCGCCGTTCGCTGCCTGGCGTGCGAACTGGTGCTGCCTCTGGTCCTTGCGCGACTGTTTGCCAAAGAGCTTCTTCTTGAGCCTTGTGTTCCAGTAGTTCTTGATGTCATTGTCCGTCCTCCCCGGCAGCTGTGCCGCTATTATTGACCACCTACGCCCAACCCAAGGCATGCATGATATGTTTAGAACTTAGATCATAGATAGCAGGTAATAGATTGTACTACACCCATGTGCCTGCCTACCAGTTTGCAGCTAATCCTACAGTTGAGTTGATCATAGAATTGACAAGATGGGTGAGACCAACTGTGCCAGTACCTGCTGCCTATGCTGATGTAGAGGCTGAGGATGATCCTGTCCTCCTCGTCTGAGAATCCACCGTGCCTTATGTTCGGCCGGAGGTAATTGAGCCACCGGAGGCGGCAGCTCTTTCCACACCTCCTCAGACCTGCAGATGCCCCAGAGACACAAGAACGCACACCTAATTAGCTTCTCCCTATATCATCACTACCGCTTACTGGTAGCATCACTACATGGTACTCAGCAATTCTGATGAGCACATACCAATCTTCTGTGGCAGCGCGATCCAGTTGCCGCCGGTGCCGTTCTGCTCGATGTAGGACTTGAGCGTGGCGTCCTCCTCCGGCGACCACGGGCCCTTCTTCACACTCGCCTTGTCGCAGCACGGAGCTCTCCCCATGGCGGTATCCTTCCTCCTCTTCTAGCTTTGGGGCTCTCGTGTGAGAGGGGACGGGAGGATGCTTTGGTTAGGGCCTAAACTTGGTTAGGCATGATGATGGTGTGGGCGGTGGGTTTATGTGCTCAAAAGGCAGGCAGGAGAAACGAGGTGTATTATTGGCATGGGAAAAGGTGGCTGCGTGTGGTGGTAATAAAATACGGTTTAATTTGCGGTGGTCTGACCTGGGTTGCTTTCTTTCTAATTGTTGTTTCCCTTGGATTAGAATCTCCATCATGCGTCCATCAGCACTAGTTGCCGGCCTATTCATGAACCTGGTCTTGGTGCACCGTAGGGACTTTAGTGAGATCTTCTTATCTAATCTGGTCCCATTGGTTCATGCGTTATTTGCCATTTGGCTATACTTCACTTGCATATTCTGTTATTTGATCTTCGTGCTATTTTTTGTTTGGAAAATACTCCCACCGTTCCTTGTGACCCGTCCAAAAGTATACATGAAGTTATACACATGGTCTGGGTGCAAATTTTACTATTATTTTTATGTGAACATGTTGGTTTAAAAGTTAAATAATTTAAAAATTGTGAAGTAGTTTTTCATGAAAAAAATGTAGAGGCGTTATTTTCAATTGACCAATCTCATTTGTTTTAAGAAGTCATGTGTTATGGGATGGAGTTAGTTTTTTTTTATTAGTAGAAGAGAAGAAGTAGTAACAAGTTTTCACACACACACACACACACACACACACACACACACCGAATTGATATTCCAAGAAATGGCACGCTAATTGTACATCAGAAGTCTCTAAATGTGGACGCAATAGATACTGGTAAATATTTTCCTCCTCTGGACGGTTGGTGGCACCCATCCTTTTTTTGTTTTGACATAACATTTGGTAAAAGCATAATAAGTTGGCATTAGCATACACGAGCAACAACCACACCATCTTACTGATATACCTATACTATATCGGATGCTGTTTTATCTCGCAGTTCCGTCTATGACTGTGGGATGTCCTAATATAGTATTACATCATGCCATAATTTATTAGCATGATCTGATCTTTAGATTGCATCTTCTCTGATTCTTGCTGGCAGCTGTCCTGTTCATACTGGCTCCTTGTAAAAACTTTAAGCTATACTCTTGGAGCCATTTGATGTGTGAGTGCCTTTCAGGGATACCCAGGGGCAACCCTGTAAGTACCCTGTCATATCACTGCAAAAAATATCACCTTCATTTTTAATGTGTCTCCATTATGCTCACTTTGCGGAGAACTTTAAAGTCAAATAATTTGCTTGATTTCAAGTAGTTTGAAATATACCATTGTCATTTGTCACTTATTGACCCCTTCCCCATTGATCTCTTCAGTCACAATCAATGGTAGAGTACTATGGTGTCACTGGTATGCATGCTGATGTAGGCTGGCTTGCATCAGGCCAGGGTAGATTTTATTTGGTGGTATCTTTTATCTGTCCATTCTACTTAACAAATCTGTGACGATATTTATGTTTCACATTTTGAGCTGTGTTCATGTAATGGCATTTTTTTTGTAAAAAGAATATTGGGACTGGTAAATAACTGAATTGATTACTGTATTGATTTGAAAATGACAATACGAGAGAATAGTACTTAATCTTGCCTTTTACTGCACATCTTCGGTCATACAGGCAGGATAGTTTTGATGTTTGACGTAGTATATGCACATCTGTTCTCCATTTGAAGTTTTCAGCTTTTTAAATGGTTATTGAATGGAAAGAAGTGGGATGTTCGCTGAAATTGTAGCCGGACAAACTGAGCTTCTGCCCACTTTAGGGTTGAAAATTCTATATCTTTTGGCTTTTTCTTAAAGACTCGGTTTCTGATTCCTAATTTCCAACGGGTGTCACGGTGTCATTCATGTGAAGGCTGAAGAGGTCTGACTGAAGCAAGTCTGGACACGAGAAAACGACGTTGCAGAAATTGCAGGAAAACTATGATTATATTAGCCGTCAGTAGAATTCTGAAGGATCTCTGTGAAAGTAACTTGGAATGGGAACTCTGAAAGTAACTTCAAATGGTGGGTGTGATCAGACAAAGTTTGTCAGTTAGCTGGCTGTCCCTATTTCACACGAGAAACTGCTCATCTTTTGCCTTTCTAAAAGAGATGAAGAGATAGCAAATCATGGTGCCGCGAGAAGACTGCGTCGCTGCGACAGGGCTGAGGTACATTTTTCTTTGAGTTATAGATGTGGCGCTTATGGTTGAGATTAGAGGGTGCGCCTATATCTCGCCTTAAGCAAGTCTGGCTTCGGACTTGCAGAAGGGCGTGCGAGCTGGGCTGGCCCACGAGTGCGGGAGGCCACAGCCTCCTTTTCCCGTTTTATGTTTTTTTTTACTTTTATTTGTGTACTTTGTTTATACTTGAAATTATTCTAAATATATATATTACAAAAACACTCTTCAAAAAACATTTAAAAAATGTTGAACAAGTATTTGAAAAATGAGAACAAGTATTTAAAAAAATGTTGATCATGTATATAAAAATGTCGAACAAGTATTTGAAAAGTGTTGATCATGTATATTAAAATGTTGAACAAGTATTTGAAGAATTTTTTTTGCGAGGAATATTTGGAGAAATGTTGATCATGTATATAAGAATATAGAATGAAAAACAAAAAGAAACAAAGAAAAAACTAAAAACTAAAAACTGAGTAAGAAAATAAACCAAAGGAAAATGAAAATGAAAAACAACTGAAGAAACAAATGAAAAAACCCGGAGAAGAAAAAAAAGGAAAGGAAAAAAACAAAAAAAGGGAGAAAAACCTGCTTGACCCACTTCAAGTACGACACGCCCCCTTTACCTAACGCGAACAGTATCGCGGCGTGGTGGCTACGTGCGCTTGCTTCTTCTCTCCTTCTCCCTTCCCTTTTTCTCTTTAACGGAGCGTGAAGTGTGCCGGCCTAAATGTTGTGCCGCACTCAGCGAGAGATCCCTTCCACCTCGTTGAATGGGATAAATAGACGCCGCGGAGATTGGATGCCAAAGGTTTTGGGCTGGTATTGCCCATTGTTTTTCTTCTTCGAAATGCCCACTATGCTAATATGGGCCATGAGTTGGCCACGACATTTCCTTACCGGCCAGCCCATGGAGGTCCTTGCTCTGCTGCTGCCGCGCTAAACCACCCTAATGATATGTATCGCTCATAGCAACATTTATCATAGAGCTTGCCCACTAGGGCACTCTTGGCAGGTTAGCCCATTAGGGGAGTAGGAGGAAACGTTCGGGTAGCGAGAGAGTAACTAATTAAGAGGTACCATCATCTTTGGATGGGCTTAGAGAGCACCACATGTCGCGTTCTACGCGCTCTCTTGATATTTTGTTTTTTGTACGGTTTTTCGATTTTAGATGGGTTTTTTGGTTTTTTCCCGGTCTCCCCTAGGTATTAGACAAAAAGAACTGGAAAAATTTGCATGAGAAAAATGCTTTTCTGTCTTCTGTGTGAGGCACAGATTTGCTTCTCGTGGAGGCACGAGTTTGTTGTGCCTCTCCGAAAAGGGAAAACCATATTTTTTTCCTTATGTGAGAGGCATAGATTTGCTTCTCGGAAACAAAAAATGTGTTTTCTTCTTCTTCCGTGAGAGGCACATATTTGCTTCTCCTGGAGGCGCACATGTTCACTTTGCAAGAATCATTCCTCTCAAAATGCCCCTCACTCTAAGGGTTCCTGGCATCTGGTCCCTGACCTCCGCAAAACTTCCTTTTGCATCGACCTAAAGCCCCATGGGCCTTACTCCTTGGCCCAATCAAAATGTTCTCGCACCAGAACATTTCTGCAAACATCCGAAACCCTTCCGGTGAATTCTGGAACCCTTCTGGAGACCAAACACTATCATCCTATATATCAATCTTTACCTCCGGACCGTTCAGAAGCTCCTCGTCATGTTCGTGATCTCATTCGGAACTCCGGACAACATTCGATCACCAACATACATAACTTATATAATACTACTAGATAATTTATGGCGCGCGTTGCTGCGCCCGTCTATTTGTACAATGAAATGATATGAATTTTGATAAATATATGACTACATGAAATATATTGAATTTACCTACACATAATAATACATTAGTAGGTAATCCAAGGAAATCTCACATATACTCAGTAAAAGCAAGGTAACATATACAAATTGACTTTGTATAACAACATACACAACAATTTAGATGGTAAATATAACCTGTGCATTTCTTGTGAAGGGCGTCATATTCATAGGACAAGAGTCCTAACAAGAATTAAATTAGCTGCAATATCAAATAAAGATATGCTAAATACTACCATGCGAGCGGGATATGTGCTAATCATATTTCTCTTTTTTTGTTTACTTGTATTGTTAAAGAGCAACAATGCTGAAACCTATATACAAGGAAGTGGCAGACCAGCAATTTCATTTTATACATGAAAAGGCTTATCAAAACAAACCAGCATGGAAAATGGTGTCGCTACACTTGTACAAATTAAATAATGCCCAAATTGAAATGTCAACCAATCAGCAACCACCTGCATCGCATACAGAAAAGAAAATTTCCAAGTCAGGACAAGCTAATTGATACATCAAGTAACATCATGTATAAGATGAAGACAGAGAGTATTACAACAAAAGTGACTACTGAAATAAATGCAAGATATGCGTAATATGCAGTACACCTAGCATGTATCCATTGCGTCCTAATTGAGCTGCTCAAGCTAGATATCATTACTTAGTTATGCATTAGTACTGAAATAAATTCCAACAAAGATTCAATCAAATTTTATTGCATGAGTATCTATATACATAAAAATTGTTCATATGTGAAAACATAACATCCGTTCATCTGGCAACAATCAAGTTATTTCAAGTTTGAACTATCACTACCACTATTGTGAAACCTTGTTCGACAACCCAAAAAATGATGTCGTAAATTTAAACCCAGCCAGGGCGATTAGTTTTTTAGGGATAATTGATTTTATGCCCCTAGTTGGGTCACACT